GTATTTGTTTTATTTACGGCTTTGTTAATTTTTAAGGGGGAGCTATTTTAGAGGGTGGGTAGATTCCTCAGGTCCTAGGAAATGTCCAAGAGATGTTAGCCAAATTACATATAAAATAAATAAGTGGTTATTCACCTTGATGGAATAAAGAGCAGCTCACATGCTTCCAATTAGTTTAAGTTTTAGCAAACATAAACAGATCACCAAGCATCTCAGGTTCTCCCCATGGGTGACTGGCACCTCAATCTTCTTTTAGAAATCTTTTCTCCCCATATTTATGACACACTGATGTGTATATATTTCCCTCCTGCCTAAAACAGAATTTAGATGATCTCCCCAGGTGATTCTCATGCACCCTAAAATCTGAGAACCACTGCAATAAATCAAAGCATATTTCCTCTTTTAAAAAATCTCTATGCAAGGAAGGAGTGAAACCTAAAGAATCCAAAGACTGAGGGCTCTTTTTAGGCTTACATCTGGGAGATGAGGCATAAAATTGGAATTTTGGAGCTGCAAGATCCTGACAGACCTCTTATGTCAGCGGTCTTATCTAGAGTTCCACACACAGTTTGGGACAGAACAGAAATCAAACCCCAGATATTCTGAATTTCTATCCTGTGCTTTCTGTGGTGTGACTGTCGCACGCATGGTCCCGTCATGCTGTGGGCAGACACATGCATTAGTAGCCTTCTAGTCAGATAGCAGTGATGTTCTAGCAAAATTAGTGTACTTGACTGTTTTTTAATGTATTTAGTACAGGGTCTCACTACACAGATCTGACTTGTAGTGATCCTCCATTTTCAGCCTCCCAAGTGCTGGAATTACAGGCGTGTACCACCACGCCCAGTCTCCATAGCCATTTCAGTATGCCCTGGGAGTGGAGCTGGCACAGCATGCCAGGGATAGAACCCAGGTCCCTGTGTCTGCCTTGTCAGGTGCTTTAATCCACTGAGCTATCTGGCCAGCCCATAGTTTTGAAAGAAATAACAGGGTCTGGAGGAAGCGGCACAGCTTTCTAATATGTACAAGGATGGAACATAGGCTTGTGGAGGGCAGCTCCTTCCCCTTTCAACATAATACACCTTACTCATGTAAAATACACAGGCCCTAAACTCAGTGACAAATACAGTAGAGATACATTTATGGAGATTTCATCTATGCATCGTTGAAATTGCTGATATAGAAAGATCTTACAAAGTTTTGCAGCATAAAATTACAATCCTCTAAAAAGCTGCCAGAGCTGCAAATTTCAAAACTGGTTGGCCCAGGGAATAGCAAACTGTGTTCGTGAACTGTCATGCAGTGGTGCTGCTTTACATAGTGTGGTGTGACACACACTTTTATTGATATGTTCTGCTTGTGGGCCAATAACCATTGCGCTATTGTTTCTGCTATAAATCTTGAGGTCAGAAGAGATAGATGTGGTAGAACCCCTAACAACTACAATCAATAGTCTCCCATCTGTTAATTTAGGAAAGAGCACACTGGGAAAAAGCACTGGAGAAGATGACACAGAGATAATTGGGGCCAAAACCTACAGGGAGAGCATCCTACCTAATATTTATTCCTCTGTGATAACTAGTCTCAAACTATGAGCATTTCAAATTATGTAATGTATTCAGGGCAGCATCCTTCACACAATATGCAGCTTCCCTTACTTTAAAAATGCTTCTTGGGGGCTGGCCAGATAGCCCAGTGGACTAACGCACCAGGTTAGGTAGATGCAGGGACCGGAGTTCAATCCCTGGCATATCATGCTGGCTCTGAGACAGGGACTGAGACCGGGCACAGTGTTTCGAGCCTGTAATCCCAGCACTCGGGAGGCTGAAAACAGGACCGCTACGAGTCCAAGCTGTGTAGTGAGACCCTGTAGACCCTGTACTAAAATACATTTTAAAAAATAAAAATAAAAATACTTCATGTCTTTATGTGATCCTAACCCCTACCCTATACCTAAAAGACAACGTAAAAAGTTGGGCAAAGCCCTGGGGGCTTCCAGTTTAATGCCACAGTTAGAGTCCCACAAAGGAGATGTAATTCTACAGTAAGCTTTCCCAGAAGTTAGTTCTGTTCTCATGTGTTATTAATTCTTTTCAGTACCCAGTGAGATGCTTTATCGTACAGGTTAATGCTGCAGCTAATTTTAGCCCAGGCTCAGGTAGGTTTGGAGTTTATCACTGCATTATGCTGATTCAACCAATTTTAAAAAGAGGGCCAAACAATCTTACCTTTCCCATCAAAAGTAAGTATTAATGAGCTAATAAGCACAAAATACTCTTAACTTCAGGAAAACTAATCTACAGGCACAACATGGCAGTGCTCACACTCTATACATGGTGACATCCCCAGGTAAACAGAGTGACACCTTCTGCTGCCACTCATGCTGATATTGTCCACCTCCTGGGTCCTTTATCTAGGGTCAGCGTAGTGACATAGGGGAAAGGAACTCCCAAACTGAAAGATACTTGGGACGAGTTCATGTTCTCTAAAACTAGAGAGTGAATTTTAGGTATAATGGAGGTTAAGAGCAGAATATATTTATTGGGGGCTAGAAAGCTTCTGTCCAAGAGAGGGACCGAGGGGACCAGAGTGGGTTGCCAAAGACTCTGCCTTTTCTAGTGGTTTACAGAGCAAAACCACAAGGTGAGGTGGATCCAAGGTGGGAAATATGGGAACTAGCAAGATGGCATGAGGTGGGAGAAAACTCTGGTGTATCCATAAGATTGCAAGTGTAATTGCTCAGGTAAAATTGATTAGATCAGGATCAAATGGGGAAGCAAGTCAAGTTATGTAGCAAGTGGTCATGAATACACACAATGGGGCTTTTCCTGTAGGGGTTGGGTTAGTGACTCTTCCTGGCTTTCTCCAGGTGATAGAGAACTATGTAGAATACCAATCCCTGATGTTTATCCCTAGGAAGGTATGCATCTGTTTGATTGGTTTTTGTCTTGAGGTCTGGCCCACAGCGGGAGCGTCTGTGTCTCCCACAGTTGCAAGGTATCTTGTCTTTCACTCTGGTTCCTTCTGAGGGCCTGGCCCTGTTTGATTGCCTATAATACTTTTGTCTAATTCAGCTGTCTACAGCACTAGTGTGGATTAAGCAGACCCTCAGAGTGCTAGGGAACCCAGAGCACTGAAAGCCATACATTTTGATCTTTGTAAAAAGCACTGAAGAGCTGATTATGTGGGAAATTAGGACTTTATTGAAGGCTTACACTTACCCGTATGTGTAAGTACACTTACCATAAAACATCTGGGATTGATTCATTTGGGACTACACAAATACAGGAAGGATATCTCCATAATCTCCATAGTATCCCTCCAAGTCCAGATCTTCTAAAGACTATATACTGGCCTTGAGTCTATTCCTCAATTGAAAAAAGAAACCCATGAAGGAATTTCTACAAATTATTTCCTTCCAAGTAAACAATCTTAATAAAAGACTAACTTCTCTCACCAGAGGAACTTAAGGGTAATAGCTTCCACAGTGCTTCAATCTAAGAACATGAAGTCTTGCTTGGCTAGGAAATATCTGATAAAATCCTCACAAAATAGTCACTATCATCACTATAACGAACTGGCAGGTGAACCTTGGAGCTTGGACAGAGTGTATCTCTGTTTGATTTTTCTACTATGGATGGGCTGATTTGCTGAGTGGTCTTGGTAAGCGCAGTGACCCCTGGTACTTGTCATTTCCAAATATTCATGACTTCTCTATTCTTGTAACATTGCTGAGATATGTGTGTGCATAAAATGGAAAACTATGTATTTCTACCCTGCATTTCCAGTGTTTGGATCCCCTCCAGCCACCATTGCAAATATGACACTCTGCTGCAGGGTGCTAAAAATGGTTCCTTCCTCAAAATAAAACCTTTAAAGATCCCTTAGTAGCTATTCAGGGACTGGAATTCAATTTCAATTCTCCACCCTTTGGCCAGCTGTAGATTCAAAATGCTTACATAAAACATGGAGAGTATGTTCTTCATGGCAAATTTGATTTTTCTTCTACCGCAGAAATGGTGCCATAGTTATCACAAACTATATTTTAACTTAAAAAATACACAAAGCAATAATGTGCTTCAACAAGAGAGAACAGATCTGTCTTAAATTTTATTTTATAGGTAGGTTTGATATAAGCTTCAAATAGGGCACTTACTACACAGAGTTTATGAACTCTACACTTTAAAATCATAATACTCTATTTTAGGCCACAATATCTAAAAGCATGGCTTCTCAAATTCTTTTATTACAAGTAGTTCTTGCACATAAAGTTACATTACAATAGCTAAAAAATGTAAACTTCTTTTGCAAACTACATAAATACTATATATCTGCCTTGAAGTTATTTTTATTTTAAATCGGAATATACTTTAAAGGACATGTAAGAAAAGTGAAGTTTACTTTCTATGTGAAGAAAACTTCAGTAGGCTATGGGTATAACAGCATTTTTCTGTTTTGATGATTTGCCTTTCATATTGCCTACTCAGCTCTTTGAAGGAGAAAAATTCAAACTAGAACCTGGACCAAAATTGAGTCCACAAATAAAATAAGTCCCCAAAATGTGTGGATCACTTTGGGCAAAATATGAGATGAGAAAATTTTCCACACACTAAATCTAACAAGCTGCCAGGAATATGGAAGAAACTTAAACGAAGGGTTCTGGTCACGCTCAGATTTGATCCTGCGCGGAACCAATTCCCTTTGCTTCTCAACATACGGTTTTGCTCCGCTATAAAAACTCACTTTAAGTGAATTTCTTCTTTTCACTTACAGCACAGCAGGTCACTTCTGTAGCCACTGTCCTGGGCTAGGAAGTGTAGGCGACCAGCGAGTGTACCTTACCAACACCGCCCTCAGGTACTTAAACTATAAGGTCAACCTGTAAGTAGCTGCGCACGCGTGTGCGCATGCGTGGCTAGAGGACCGCGCCAAGGTCTTTTCTCACTTCAAGTGTGGTTTTGGGTTTTTGTTTGTTTTTTTTTTTTTTTTTTTTTTTTTTGGTTAAAAAAAAAAATCAAGTTTACTGAGGCATTATCCTTAGATTTCTACTCACACCTACTACTGGCCACAGCTCCTTTGAGCGCAAAGCGTTACCACTGCTGAAGCACTTCTGAAAGTCTTAAATGCATGCAGAAAGAACTACATAGTTGTTTTTTCCTTAGCAGCTACATTAGGTGGCTCAAGTAACATTATTTATTATTTATGGCGGCCTAAGCCCCTTAACGGCATCTTTCAAAACACAAAGAGAATGGCCACGGAGGGGCGGCAGAGCTCAGAACACCCGGCCGGGCCGACCACCGCAGGCAGGCTGAGCAGGTGACAAGCCCGGCTGCAGGGCTGGGTGCGTGTTCCGGAAGTGCACCGTGTCTTCTCCGTACCGCCCACGTTTTTCAACTCTGACATCAAAGAAGAAAACACTGTTTTACGTCTAGCGGTGATTAAAATAGGCCTCGAAGTAACACTGCCACGGGCTTCACAGAGACAGGTCGGATTGTGCACAGCTTCCCAGGGAGGCCTGGGGCGCGGGGCGGAGCGGAGGCGTCCGAAGCTCAGGAGCTGCTTTTGTTGCAGACGGTGCCCTGGCTAATACTATCTTCCATGTACTGGCTGCCCGTGTCGCTCCTGCTGACCACCGTGGAGGGGATGCGCGAGGGCCGCCTCTCGGGGCTGCTCTCTTGCCAGAAGCAGATCATCTTCTTCATGGTGCTGTACATGTCCTCGTCCTTGTACGAGTAGATGATGGGGTTCATGACGGAGTTGAGCAGCGCCAGCAGCAGGAACCAGCGCTTCACGTGCTGCACGCCGCACTGCGTGCAGTTCAAGCCGTCCAGGAGCAGCACCACCAGCCCCGGCGTCCAGCACACCACGAACGCGCCTGCGGAGAGACGGGGAAGCAACACGCGCTCAGACCTCGGGCTGTTCTCAGGCTGCTTCTGCAGGCTCATTTGGTCAGCTGCAGAGCTAACTCCCAGGCTGCCTTCGAACAACATCGGAAACCTGGAGCCTCCTTTCTACCCACCGCGCACTGCGGCGCTCCCTTCTCTTCGGTTGTTGTTATTGAGGCCCTGCGTTTACACGGCGCAGCTCCTGCACCTCCTCTGTAGGCCTCTGAACCGCAACAGGAGACTGCTCGGATTGTTATCTATATCTGACCAAATGGGAAACTGAGGCCTGATTTCAAAGGGAAACGTGAGGCCTTTCTGACTCCAGGGCTCACACACTGAACCTTTCCCGCTGTCGTTCTCCAAATCAGGCTTTCGTCAATGCTTTCTGGAAAATCTAGCTGTGAATAGCTAAAGTTCAACAAAGCCCTATGTACGCTCCATTAGAGCAGGCGACCATCACTCCAAGGCATGCCCCTAGTGCAGTGCAGTGAGCTACAGGGCGAGGGCTGCAGCCAGCTAGCTGCCTGTGGGCGCTGCAAGCTCAGAAACGGTCACCATCACTGTCTAGGGGTTCGCCGCGTCACTTGCTTGATGGTGTTGCTCTTCCTAAATTCACACTGATGCTCCTGAGCACCGTGTTCCTTCTGACATAGTCACAGGCCACTTGCTTACTCTTCTCCCAGCTTTAGGTCTGTCAGAAATAAATCTTTCATGAGGAGATAGTTAGAAATGTGCTTCCTAGAGGGCAACTGAACATGAACCCCGGGCTCCGCCACGTCACCAGCTGTTGGAACGCTGGACCTTACCTCCAAATTCCCTTAGATTTTCCTTCTGAAATAGGAGACACAGGTTCAGTCTTCTGCAGTTTATGTAGCTGGCCTTTACAGCAGGCTTACTACAAACCAGGTATAAATATTTTCTTTGATTATCTCATTACCATTTGGTTGGTGTTATTAGTATTATCTTCAGTAAACTGAGGCACCAGAGAAGGTACCTAAGCTGCTTATGATTAAACAATTCTTTTTTTTTAATTTTTTTTAATTTTTATTTTTTTTGATTAAACAATTCTTAAGGGACACCTAATTTTAAATGCTAGTTGTCTTTATCCATGGCTGTGGTCACCATGGCTACTGTGTGACCTGCTGCCGTAGTCCTCCAATATCCTATCATCTCAAAGTGCACTTGAATGTGATCCATTCATCTCAACTTTCCCATGTACCAGGAGCTGCACGAAGCAGTACATGAGATGAAAGTGGTACAGGGAGCTGAAATGCTAAGCAAAAAAATGAACAAGGAAATCTATAAAAACGTACCAAAACCTAGCTCTCGCTAGTTAGACTTAATCCTGGACACTATTTCTCTGTGTTGTCTTCATTCTGAGGGGCATAACACTAAGCGAGATGAGTGAAGAACTACAGAGAGGCAGTGTCGAAGCAGGCAAGCGCAGGACCTCCGGGTCCAACAGGTTTTCTCAGCCCCTCATCTTATGAGTTGTCCATTTTAGGCAAATTACTCTACTTCTCTGAGTCTTTATTTTTTTCCCCGTTTTTTTGTTTTTTGGTGTTTTTTTTTTTTTTTTTTTTTTTTTTTTTTTGTGGCCAGTTCAGCCCACTGTGGGGGCGGGGCTGGTGAAGCATGTGGTGCCTGGGACTGAACCGGAGTCCCTGAGCATTTCCCTAAGTTTGCCTAAGCAGGTGTTTTAGACCGCTGAGCTAGCTAGCCAGCCCCATTTCCTTCATTCTTTTTAAGCCATAAGTTATATGTGAGATACTGTTCTAACAACTTTGTATTGACTAATTTCATCCTCATAGCAATCCTTGGAAATAGGTATTAATATTACCTTTATTTTAAGCCTGAGGTAAGTATGGCACAGAAATGTTAGGTGATGTGCTCAGAGCCACACAGCTGCTAAGTGTGAGAGCCAGGACTCGAGCACAGGCGTCCTGGTACCATAGCCTGTGCTCCTGTCCCTCTTGTAGGCGGTCCCCATAGGGGGCATCTTACAGTGAGTGAGTGACATGAATTCAGGGTCTGGCTGTGGAGGTGCATATATTACAACTAAGTCATTCTTCGGCTAACAGAAAGATTTTCTAGCCAGAGAAGGGAGAGGAAGAGAGAAGAGAGATTGGCTGTGGGGTAAAAAGAGAAAGAAATAAAAATCTGCCAATTTTATCTTTATAGTGTTTCCAATGAACAATAAAAGGCAAAGTCTCTGTTGCAGGAAGAACTGAAACACACCAAGCTGCTATGGTAGGGAACAGTGCTTCAAAGACGTTACCTTTAGCTGCTTCTGAGCATGCCTCCCAGCAGGCAATAATCCAGGAAGACCTGGCCATTGCAAGGAGGAGACCCCTCCATCCAGAGGCCGAGCTCCACCCAAAGACATCTCGGAAGACAGGCATGGTCTATCCAGCTGTTCATTCTTTAGAGGTTTTTGCCATACATAAGCAGCTAGATAACGGTCCCTCCAGAAAATTTAAAAAGACAAGAAAATGTCAGGAACGGACCTGGCCCTGGGTATTAACAACCTTAAAGAATTCTTAAGAGAGTGTGGGAGATGTCAGAAACACACACATAGGGAAATGTGCTAATTCTTAAAGAGGTGGGGATGAAAAGGGAGAGAGGGGAAGACAGGGGGAGGAGGAGAGGGGGAGAGAGAGAGAGAGAGAGAGAGTCAAACCCTAATAAATTCTAGAAAAAAAAACCCTAAAAGTCATGTTCTTTGAGTATTTAGCTTTATTTATTTTTATTGTTTTATTTTTTGGACAGCTCAGGTCTGGCACGGCATGTGGTGCTAGAGATCACACTGCAGTCCTTGCACCTGTCTAAGCTTGCTTAGGTAGGTGCTTTAGACCATTGAGCTATCTCGCCAGCCCGAGTATTTAACTTTAAAGATCAGACCGTCACTGCCAGGCACTACTTGTGCTCCAAGAAGAGGTTATGTCGGGTCCAGATCACTTAAGAAATCATCAGGCATTATCAAGTAGCGGTGAGTCCAGAGATGTCTCTCCGCAGGTGTCTGTCTGGGAACCAGAAGGGGTGCTTCTCCTGGAGGAGAAAGGACTAAGGGAATGCACAATATATCATGTCTCTCAAAACTGAAAAGGTTATCATAGAGAAAGGAGGCACAATTCTGGGCCACTCTAGAATATCATTCAGAACAAATGGAAAACCCCAGTGAATGAGAACTTGATCTTAAGGCTTTGAGTACATGGCGGTATTGAGAGAAGAACACACTGTTTTAGCAGGTAGCCTCCTATAACACGGGTATTTCCTTTACCTGGCTCCTCCTGGGATATGCCAATGGAAGAGATTTTCCTACAGGGAAGGTAAGTGGTATGTCTTCTGAAATGTTTTTGGTATAAAAAATTGCTCAGTTCTTCAAAACTGTGACTTGCAACACCCCATAAAATTCAAACATTTGACTTACTTGTCAGATATAATTAGAAGATTGTGTGGCTAAAAACTGATCGGGCTGCATCACCTAAGCTGTTCCTAGTTTCTCATGATGGCTGGTCAGCTGAAGTGCCAAGGGAGCCTTGTGAACACTGCAGACTCTAGTCCCATATCAGAGCCAGCATCAGACTCTCTGGGGTGGATGTCTGGAATGAAAGATTCCATAGAAGATACAGTGTGCAGCTAATCTTATAAACGGTTGCTGTATGCTGAGCCCAAAATCGATCCATTCAGCTGACCCCAACAGCAAAACTGTAGACTCCATATAGATTTAGCAAAAAGGCTTGGAAAAGAGAGCAGGGCCTAAATTCTTTAAAATGAGAAAATACTATGCCTAGAGATCAATATGCTCATCTTGTGTCTGGAAGAGTGTCGGTGCACATATGCATAAATTGACGTAAATCCTAGCTGCAAAACTAGCCCATAGGCAAGACACACAGTCATTCTCCTGGCTTCGCCCTGCCAGAAATGCCTTCCTGTGTCCTATAATCTAAGGTTAACTTTTCTTTCTAATCTTGGCTCATGTTCTACCTCCTCCACTGGATCTTACCCATCTCCCAACCCATGCTGATTAGCCTTTCTCTCAACTCCTGCGGCCCTTCGCACCCGCAACATTTTTGTGGCATTGGCCACATTACCTGCTCCATTGCATGCTATCATTTTCTGAGAGCTCTGGGTCAGGCAGTGTACTTAGGGTTTCATACGTATGTCTCATTTAAAGCTCACAGTCCTGCAAGGTTACCATTCTTATTTTTGTGCCACTCTAATATATGATGTACTTGAAGTTTAGAGTGTCTCCACAGTTTTTTCTGGGTCTCCAAGACAACAAATAGAAGAATCATAATTTGGACATAGGTCCAACCCCTCAAGGCAAGCTCTTGAGCACTGTGTAACCCTGGAGATAGTACTTAATACTATTCTTAGGTACTATGTCCAAAGCTTATTACAAGCTCCCAAAGCATGTTTTCTGTGCATTATACCTGTTTGATCATTAGATCTCCAGATAAAGCCACGCACTCAGTAGCAGAGGCGATGAGCCAGGTCACTGTAATCACTGTTAGTTATCAATAGCTAACACAAGACCAGGCTCTGCACTAGCTGTAACACCTGCTGATATAAACAGTATACAGTCCTGGCCTTCGTTTGTTACAGATATGGACACTGGGCCTGATGACGCAAAGAAGAGCTCAGTTGAAGTAACAGATGAGCTGGTTGCTAAAGATCAAGAATTACTGAACAGAGGTAAAAACAAAACAACAACAACAAAAAAAAACCAGCATTATATTTTTGGGGGAATTCCAAGTAGTTTAGGATGGTTCTAACCCAGGTAGGTGATTGAGGAAGTAAGATAAAGTCCAAGAGGGGAAAATGGGCTAAATCCAGAACTGTGTGCAATACTCAGGAGTTGATATTTACTATATAGATCAGATGCTCTAAGCCTTTCATAAGGCAAGACCTCACCCAGAGAATTCAGTCTGAATGCTCTCACATATCCACTTTCATGTAATAAGTAAACTCTATCAAGCGTCTAGAG